GTCTCTTGCGCGTGTTACCATTCTCATCTGGTCGAAAGTTTAAGATAAGCAAACTATATTATCACAGTGGCTACACTCGGCCGTCACGGGGTCTATTTTCGGACTTTTCCAAGCCCGCAAGACGGACGAAGGCGATAATTTCGTGTTCGGGGCGCAAAAGTGGCTAATCACGTTGTTACGCACGTTAAAAGGCGATTGTCCGTCCACGCGGAAGCAGAGAACGGCCCACGGCTCTCTGCATCTATCCCTCGCTCGCACCTCTCGCTCGCAGGACACGTACTCGTCGTGTCCCCGTACACGTCCTCGCGTGTACGCCGCGCACGGTGTATGTATCGCCGCGCCGGTGCGTGTACGCGTCGTCTGCTCGGTGCGTGTACAACGCGCGCGCGGTGCGTGATACCGAAACGGCCGACCGGGATGTCGGACGGGAATCTGCGCGCCGGCGATATCGAGGGCAGGCTTTCGCGAGGAATTTAAAGAGCAGATCGATCGTAATCTACGGCACGCCCTAAGTCTTCTCGAACGCGTCCGCTTTCCGCCGGTTTCAGGTTTCTTCCACGCTCCCAAATTGCCCGGATCGAATAGACGGAACAATAGCCCGAAACAAAATCGGAACGTCATTAAAATATGATGATTAATCATTTTTTTTTTTCACGATTTCTCAAAATCGTACGTTTTATTTCGAGCCATAGTAGATTCTATTTCGGTAGAAGGATATCAATGTTTTATATTTAGAATGAAATTAAATGATAAATATAAAAAGCATTATTTTTTAGAGATATTATGTTTGCCATAGGGAATTATATTAGTTTCACTATAATCTTCATTTATTTAAGATAATGTATATATATAATTTATGAGTAGTCTAGAATTAAAAAGGTTCTCTGTTGTTCGAATTTTCGGTTTTACATTTTTTTTGTACATTTTTATAACTTTCTTTCTAGAATTCTTTGTACTTGCTTTATTCTATGTTAGAAATGAAAAAAAAAATTGCAATGGAGATGTTCTATCGTAATGTAAAACAAAGACTCATAAATTATACATCGATTATCGATCATCGCTTTATTTCCATTGTTCCTCCGATTTGGTACCAGTAATTTCACTGATAAAACGATCAAAATCAAATCTTCGTAATATGGGATTGTACGGGATTGTTTTGCTAAACAATGTTTGGATAAATGTGGTTTACCACGATACGAATAAGCTGTTGTCCATCATGAGGTATTGTCTATCATACGCTGAAATGTACAACAATCCTACAACAGTCCTTTCGCTTAATGTCTGGGTATTTAATGCGTTCTACTCACCAAACAGGTAGACGTTTATGAATGCAACTGGCATTGCCTGTGGGTGAGAGCGCCGAATATGGATGGCAGCCGAAGATGACCGGGAGCGATGAGACTGCTTATCGAATAAGGACGTGACGTAGCCGCGGTTTGACCTATAAGGCAAACGGATTGCTGTTAATAGTCAATATGCATTAGACAAACAATGAGCGGATCTTCAGGCCGCACACGATGCCCGACTCCTCTACGACGTTCCAAAGATTTC